GGTAATTCTACACATACCCACACTCAAATTTTGTAAGAAATGATGGGGTAGTTTAAGCAGAAGACATCCGCAATTTCTTATTAGTGACCGGTCAGTTTATAAGCATAGGCATTCGAGTTTTGTAAGAAATGAGGGGACATTTTACATATATTTGTATATCCAATTTCAAAGAACTGACTGGTCACTTTTAATGTCATGCTTCATTCAACAGGGGCATAAATACATAAATCAAGCGTGTACATTTTTCATACCATTTTCAATTCAACTACTAGCGATCAATTGAACAACTGTTCTTCATTCATTGATCAGGTTAGTCTCTTTAATTCTGATACTGTTATCAATACTCAACAACTGAAACTTTATATTATAAATGTTTCAAACAAATTGAAAATATTGATCTTCTATAAAGCAACAAGTGAGTATCGTTTTTTTTTTGTTTTTATTAAACAACCAATTATTCACATCATCTATATTTGAATACGAAGTATTATTTATGATTATTTCATTCTATTCATTTTAGCATCATTTTTAACTTGCATTTTTAGATTACTATTTACATAACTCAATGAACCCAAGCCAGACTCGTCTACAGCCGACATCGCAAATTAAACATAATGATCGAATAAAATCAAAACGTATGTTAACAGCTCAAGAACGAGAAGAACAACAACGTCAAGAGCGACTTCAAAATATGGCTTTTTAACAACGCTTTAATGTCGATCTCGAAGAAAAACTTAAAGATTACGAATGTTTAGATCATTATTATGAAGAGATGGAATCTACGGAACAAAAACAAGTCCAAGACTTGGAACGAACAGAACAATTGGAATTAGAACAAATCGATGACGATTATCGAGAACAACTGAAACAAATTGAACTCTTTGAGGAGGAAGAGGAGATACGTCAGAAACGACATTATGACGAAATAGAAATTTATTTGGAACAATTAGAACAAGAACAACAATCAGAGCAATCAAAACAAGTACTATATTATGAATGGATGCAGCGTTTTGAACATCCGCAGGAAAAAGTAAGCTGACTTGAACTAGAATACACTAGAGCATCTTTTTTTTTATCTAGATTTTACCTTTGAAATCAACTGATCTAGATAAGACATCATGGCAATTTGGCTTCTTTGGCAAAAGAAATGGCATCATTTCTTCGAATGAGGATGATAATAGTGATGAAAATGAACAAGAAAACGTATTGATGACACTCCTACACAGAATTCAAGAACAACAACAAGAGCCGAAGGCGAATACGAAAAATATTCCATTTTTCTATAGGTAAGAAATTTCATATCAATCTTATTCTATTCTTTATTTCAGAACATTTACTTTAACTAATGAGTTACTTTAGAAATACATTATATCAAACTATTCAAGAATATGGCCCATCACTTGAAATCATCATTCAAGAAATTGATGATGAAAGTAATGAAGACGATTGGATATCAATACATGACAACGATATAGAGCAGCAGACACAACAAATTGATCGTATTCAGGTTTATAGAAATTATCTCATATTCTCTGACGAAAATCAAACACATTCAAGTTTTCATATTTCACGAGGCAATATTAATACGATTCGTTCTCAATTAAGAAAACGAGATTATCTTCTACTGAAAGTCTATAATACTCATCACTATTACGTATGCCATATCAATGAAATGAAACAAAAAGTCTCTGATTATTTTTCTGAAAGTGAAACTTTTCTACTTATACAAAATCTTCATGAAACTGATAGTGATTATGTTCGAAACTTATTAAATACGATTATGAATCAATTGAAAAACGTATTAGATGATCTACTTCAACGTCATTGTATTACCGAACTTCAATTACAACAAATGCAAATGGATCCAGCAAGAGTTCGATTGAATTTTCTTTCTTTCCAACCAGATACACGATACGTACGTAATTTCTTTCGATAATTTTTCTTCTTTTTTTTCTCTTGATTGACTGTTCTGACTCCTGATTATTTCTGTTAGGAAGATGTACCATTTCGTGCTCATATGACTTGTTGCCTGGGACCTACAATGGCACTTTCACGTTTTCTTTTCTATCTTCTACAATCAATTTATGAAGAAGTAACAAAATCAATGACATTTATTGAAGGTATCGATGCTGTTGATGCCGTTGAATTATACACTAAAAAAGGTTCATTGAAATCAAAGACTTTATTTGCAACATTTTCGATTGATAATCTATCAACAATATTTGCACATCAATATACTCTTCAATCATTGGAACGTTTTCTTAATGAATATGTATCTGATCGTCATATCCAAGGAGTAACAATCGAAACTATCCTTGAACTAGTAACAGTCTTCTTAGCAAATCAATATTTTGTTTTTGAGAACAAAGTTTATCGACAAATGAAAGGTAATAGTTGTTGTAGTTCTGGTCCATGTTTAAATACACTATTGGTTAATATTAACATGTTTTATCGACAACAAAATTTTGTTAATATTCTAATGGAGAAAAAAGAAATATTTGGCAGGTAAGAATGAAAAATATTTTCTTTGTAAATAAATAGATTATTTATTACTTGAATCATGTAGATGTTTCGATGAAACGTTTCTGACATGGAATGGATCGGATTATGAATTATACAATTTATTAAAAACAATGGCTAATAATCAGTCTCCTCGCCTTCGAATACGATATTCTATAGGTGAAAAGGTCAATTATCTTCAAGCTACTATTGCTCATGAATATGGTCATATCAATAATCGTGTTAATCGTGAGACATTAGTAGATCCGTATTCACTTATTCCCTTATCCAATTATCCATTAAATATGGTTATATCAACCATTCGTATGGCTCTTTTACGCGCGATAGCTTATTGTTCTACAAAAAGTTCTTTCAATACAGAAATAAATTATATTGAATCTATTATTAAATGGCACAATCTTTCAATCACTTCAATTATAGCACAAATGGAATATAAAGATCGACTTCTCTACTATGATACCAGACAATATGCCGACATAAATCAATATAATTGCGATCGCCATTTTGCTCGTTTCATTCTACAAAAAGAAACAGCTTCGGAAATCAAACAACAACAACAGCAGCCAATTGAACCCCAGACATTCTTTTTAAATTGTCCATTCAAGGAACAACAATTAATTCATTTTAAACAAGATTTTGAATGTTTATTGCAATATTGTTATGGAAGAGATATTAATTTTAAAAAATTGAACATTGATACAGTATCTCGTCCAAACTATCCTGCGAATACACGATGAATAACAAAAGTTACTTATTATGAATAAAATACTATAAATCATTGTAGATTCTTTCCTAATTTTTCTTTCTTACTTCATTTCTTTTATTCTAGATAAATTCTTCTCATCTATTAAAATAATGGCAACAACTAATAAAAATTCATGTAGTCAACAACAGGTAATATTAAAAAACTTGATATCTATATTTAAGATATTAGTTTCTCTTTTTGCTTCTGATTATAGAATGAAACTTTACAATATTTCGATAAAATACGTATTGATCTTCCATGGAATCAAAAAGATAAAAATAAATCAATAGACAAAATTGAAGTAAAATATTGCTTTAAAAAATCGTTGACGTATATTATTCTAATATGTATTTAATTTTTTTCAGCCAATGGAAGTAGGAAATTTATCACAAAAAATGAGTCAATTATCTACGAATACGACAGAGAAAGATGAACTGTTGCTGAAAGATATCAAAGCGGAAATTGAAAAAATTCCAGCTTATCTTACAAAACGAAATAAATCTTTCCTGGAAATAATGAAACAAGCATTATCAAAAACAGCAATAACAACAAATACACAACCATTATCAACAACAAAGTTAGGTGATACTACTGATTCAATAGATAAATTAAGAAAAATAGCTATTTTAATTTATAAAATAATGGTTATACAAACTTATCAAGTATTATGGGCGGCTTATTTCAAATCAGGTATGGGACAATTAGTTATACCAGCTAAAACACAAGTATCCTATTCAATAAATGTACCAATATGGCCAAAAGAACTGAAAGCAATGTTATTGTCAAAAAATATGGATAAGACGCATGAAAATGATACTCTTTTAAAATTGGTTAATAAACATTTAGATGAGTTAGATTATCAATTAAAACAATATCAAAATGAATTGAATATCAAAGCCAATAATTTCCAAGGTTATTCATTAACTATACAAAAAATCATTGAATTATATATTGAACAAAATCTTCATTCTTTACGTATGGAAATTGAATATAAAGTGAAACTTATTCATTATGATTATCATATTCAAGCATTGAAATTAGAGTATTTTCGACATAAACCAAATGAATATCAAGTAGGTTTTTCGCAAAATAAAAAAATTTTCTGCTGACTTAATCAAAAAATATTTTAGAAAGAATTAATGAAACAAGTGTGTCAAAGTAACTATGAAAAAGAAACATCAGAACAAGAATATCATTTTTTGAAACAACAAATTGCTTATTATAATTTACCAAATCAATCATTTGAATGTTCACCAATAGCTCATTGTCCATTAATTAATTCTATTCAAAATGCAACTATTCGACAAGAATTATTTAAACAATATAAAGAAGTTGCCGAACAATCGAGAGCTGCTTTATTTGATGTTTATCTGCAATCAGCTGAAGATCAACGAGAAGAATATAAGAAGAAATATGAAACTGATGAACAGAAAATGAATTCGTCTAAAGACTCATTGGATGAAAAAGAAAGAATATCTTCAATCATGATTCACCTTATCAATCAACGTTGTAATAAAATTAGTGAACGTATTAAATGTATCTATAACTTCAGATCTCAATCTATTCTTATGAAATCTTAATTCTAATTCTAAATTGAATATTTTACATTATTTGTAGTTTCATTAGTTTAGTAGCTATTTGAGTCGTCCTGTCATTTTTCTTTTTCTTTTTCAGATAAATTGACTAGTTTTTATTATACATACAGATAATTCTGTTTATAATGAATGTCAACGATATGGACAGACACGATGATGTTCCAATTTTAAATCAACAACCACAACCACAACAAAAAAAGTGTCATGGTAATCGAAGAAATCAACGTTTTAGAAGAAAATGTCGAGCTCACAAAATGAAACCTTCAAAAATGGAAAAGCTAATCAAGAAAAGAAATCTTATTCATAAGAAAAATCAAAAAAATAACTCTATAAGACGTGCGACAAATAGTAATATAGAATTAACAATTCGAAAAAACAATCAATCACAACCAATAACAACAACAACAGATCTTAATAAACGTAAACGAGATATATCATTACAAGAATTATCAAAAACAAATACAACAATATCAGAAACAACAAGTTCAGTATCTATTGTACAACCATCATCAAAAAAAATGAAGAATGTATCAAAAACAATCACTAATCCAATAATCAATGCGAATAATAGTGATGTGAAGAGAAATACAAATTATCGGTATGCGTTTTCAAAATTTTAACAACACAATTTTCGATTACATATATTTTTCATTTTGTAGACGTCCTATGTATTTGACACGATCATCACACATACTTTGTCAAATATTAAATAAAACTTTAAATTATTCATTAAAGAAAAAAGATGAACAACAATTTATATATTTACAACTTGAACTATTAGATCAACAATATTGTCTAGAAAAAGATCAAGAATTATGGCAATCCTATTTAGATATTGGTATACAACAACACATATGGCCAGTGAGTTTGTTTCTTCTTATTTCATTCTTATAATACTTTTTTTTTCTTTTTTTTTCAAATACAAAGGATCAACTGTATACAATGGCAAAAACAAATGATTTCGATTTATGTAAAGAGTATTTAATGAATTATATACAAAACATCAAAAAACAATTAAATCAATGTCAATCTGAATTGGCAAAACAGCAAACTCAAACAAGCCCAATCTTAGAATTATCATTTGAACAAATCGAACATCGGCTTAAAGAATTAGTGAATCGTGAACGAAAATATTTATCAAAAAGAAACAATAAACAATTGATTAAATTTAAAGATGATTTTTATGAAAAAGAACTATTTAAAACTATATCTACCTATTTTCCTAAAACTAATGAACAAGTAAATCTAAATGGATTTTAACCAATCATATATATTTTTTTATTATTAAATAATTCTTTTTTCAGGATGATTATACAAATGAATTAATTACTATACGACAAAAACAAGCGGAAATCTGGCAAGAACAACTTATGTTAGAAATGCGAATTCTTTGTAAATTTTTACCACAAAATGTCAATCATTTGGAAAATTTCATTGCACCTATTGCTTATCTACCATTGAACAATAATGAAAAAATTGTAGCAGTTAAAAACAAACATTATAAAATTATACAAGAAGGAAAACGTATATGGTTAAATTATTTTTTAAATATTTATGAAATTAAATTACAAGAATATGAAGAACAATATCAAAATAAATTCAATAAATTGGAATCACAGTTATTAGATAAGAGCATTATAAATGGTCCAACTATGTTAAATACTATCAAAGAATATATAGAATATCGAATAAATAAATTAAAAAAAGACATTTATGATAAAATGTCATCTTTTCGAAGAATCGTACTTCAAAATCGTCAACGTTCAACATCAACAGGACATACTATTGGTGTCTCACCTGAACCATATCTCGATCTAATTTCTAATCCATTTAATAAACGTCAATGGAATTATCTTTCACTTGGTTAGATCATACTTTTCTAGAATATAACAAATTCTTTTTATTCTTAAATTTATTTTAGGCCCATCTTATATAAGATTAAATCAAAGTGCCATTCGTCCTAAATCTCAACAACTAACTGGAATAAAAGATGAACATAAAGATATTTATAAAAAAGTTGAAAATCATCTCGTGGAGAAACCTCATTGTATACCACGAACAAAACCAATTTTCAAAGAATATTCAAATCATCTTCTTGATTACCTTAATCATAGTTATTTTACTCCATTACCATATAAAGATCAATTACAAACTCTCGAACAAGCACAAATCGTCGGATCAATTCGACAAATAATAAAAAATATGGATCTTATCATCCGTCTCACTGATAAAGGTCATAATTTTTATATTGGTTTAGCTATTGAATTTGAAAAAAAAGTTGAAAAATTTTTCTCTGATACAAATGCTTTCATCGAATTATCTTACAATCCATTCAATGAAATATTAGATAAAGTCATTGAATTACTTAATAAATTATATTCAAAAAAACTCATATGGAAATGGCAATATGAAGAAATGATGCCAGATCGAACAAAATGTGAATTAGCTCATTTATATTTTAATCCTAAAACACACAAGGTATAGTACAAGTTTTTCCATTGATGTTTCATCTCTTATTTTATTCAATAATTTAAAATTTTAGGATGGCATACCTGTTCGACCAATTGAAAATACTATTCATGCATCAACTACAAAAATTTCAAAATTATTAGATAAAATATTACGACCCATATTCGATAGCAAATGTAAAGAAACAACAATAATCGATGGTACGTCTTTAATTACAGAACTTACAAATAATACTAAGAAAGGTCTTTTAAAACCAACAACTCTTTTTTGTACATTTGACATTCGTAATTTATATACAATGTTACCACAAGAACAAGCATTGAATAGTCTTATGACATTTCTTCATGTACATGGTTATAGAAAAGTGAAAGGAATTAATCTTGATACGATAAGAAAATTAGCTTCCATTGTACTTCAAGAAAATGTTTTTGCTTATGGTAAAAAAATTTATAAACAAACAACTGGTGGTGCTATGGGTTCATCATTTACATTAACTTTAGCGAACATTTTCATGTGGGAATGGCAAAAAAAAATTGTTGATGAACAAACTGTGACCGGTGAATTTTATGGCCGGTAAGTGACTACAAAGAAAAACATATGATTATTATACAAATTATCTTTCTAGGTACATTGATGATATATTTATGACTTGGAACAAATCTGAAAATGAATTAAAAGTTTTATTAGATGAAGCAAATACATGGCATCCAAATATTAAATTAGATTATAAAATCGGCAAAAGTCTTCCATTTCTCGATGTTCTTCTTACGAATAATAATGGTATTCTATCAACATCTGTTTATCATAAACCAGCAACTGAACCTTATGTTACACCATTTATATCTGATCATCCGCGACATGTTTTCACGAATATTATTAAAACTTCTCTTACACGTGCTATAAGATATTCATCGACATTCGAAGTATTTAATAATGAACGACGTTATATTAAACTAATGTTATTATA